GAGGATGTTCTTACAGCTCCATACATGAGAACAGTGGCAGGCAGTCATCGCCTTCTCACATCAGAGATCCGCGGCATGAAGACTAGAAGTGGCACGGATGGAAAATAGGCAAGGGACAGCAGGAGAAACAGCAGAACTAAGAGGAAAAAGAATGGCAGGCACAAACGCTGAGGTCAGCAGTTTCACAATGACTACAGCGGTCAGGCGGGTGGTTTTGTTCAAGGACCAGACAGCAAGAAGACAAGGAATAAAGCCTAAGATGAGGTGACAGCAAAGTAAAGAACAGGACTGGAGGATGAGGTAAGGGAAGGAAAGCACAATGAGTGACTGAGCAATTTCTCCTAAGGCTCCGGAGGGGTGAGGCAAAAGATAACAATCACTCTGAACTTCCAAAGGGCACGAAAGATCCAAAACCAGTTTGTTGTCACCAGGAGGAACCCCGGAGACTGCAATGACCTGACAGCATCCCTTCTCCTCGGTGTTTCTTAGGAGCAATCCTGGCTGGACTGCCTGGACACAAGCAGCAGTGTGTGTGAGTACAGAGGCTTGAGAGTACAGGAGGCTGAGGAAGCTACCCAAGGGAGATCCCCTTCTGCGTTGTGTGTTCTCACACTGCGTTGCATTACATTAACTGCCATAAGGTCTGCAACTCCCAGTGTTTTTGCAGAAACCAGATCAAAACCAAACTGCTACCTCAGAAGGCATTTATACCAACAGAAAACACACAGCTCATCTGACAGTCCAGCTGCAAGGACCGGCTTCTTTTGTTGGGTTCCAACCTAAAGGCCATGCGGTGAAAGCCTCAGACCCTGCTCACGGATAACAACCTCGCCATTTTATTTCTGTAATGATGTGACTGTTTTTCAGTGGTGGAAAGAACCTCATTGCATAGATCACACCAGTCAAAAAGACAACCTGGGAAACGCTGAAAATGAAAGCTTGTGGAAAGAACAGCCAGACTCCGGGCTACCTCGCAGAGAAATAGCTGGACCTTTTATAAAACTATATGAGAACACGGATGAGGAGAGTGCAGATCTAAGTAGTTATCAGCAGGTGAAACGTGCAGATCAAATAAAGTCTGGAACAATTTTAACACTGTAATTCACACCTCCAGACCATTTCCTGGTTCTTGTCCCTGCAAACCGAAGATAATAAGAGGCCAAGATAAGGAGGGGGCTGTGAGCCCCATGTCCTGGTGTCCAGGCACTGCCATCGCTCTTGTGATTCACCAGCCCTAAGCAGCTGGGAGAGGAAAGGAGGAAAAGGAGTCAACAAGCTCTTCTCCAAAATACCTGGTGTGCCAGCAAAATGCGAGGGGGGGAGATGCTGGTTGACCCCAGAGCCCTGACGCCCCGTACCTGCACTGAGCAGCACGTTGCGCGCCGTCGGATGCCAAGCCACGATGCCGACTCTCTTGGAATGGCCTTCTAACACCACCACCGGCTCTGTCAGGGACAGGGTGAGTCCGTTCTCGGGAATCTGCCACACCTGGAACGGGGAAAGGACAGACAGTTAGCCAAGGGCCACCCCTCTGAAGAGCGTGTGGCTCGTTTGCTTCCTGCATCCTGCGCCGGGCCACGGCAGACGTGGAGCTGTCGTTTCTCGGTGTAAACAGGAAGAGAGAAGCGGGCAGGGAATCGTTCCCGGCCACCAGTAACCCTTTGGCTGATCTGTGCGTAACGTCCTTCCTAGCTCACGCTGCCAGCACAGAACCACCGGCTCCTCACGCTGCAAACGCCCCGTTATCGCTGTGTCCAGAGATCCACTCATCTCAGACGCTGCCTGAGAAGGATGCAAAAAAATTTGCCTTGCAGCTCCAATTCCATCTGAACAAACTGCTGTCTTTCCAACTTATGCTCGCTCCTCAGAGGGACAATATTGCAAGCTATACAGGTGCCTAGTTTTTATTTCGTTAGAAATACTGGTGATTCGTTTTCACGTTATGTTCAGAACCTCCTTTCAGATGCCATTTAACTGGGGAAGAGCCATTTGGTCCTGGCAAAGGTTGAAGCAGCCCAGGTTAGCATTGCAGAAACTACTTTTGAATGCAGAAACTACCTTTGAACGCAGCCAACTGCCTGTTTGCTTCTTGCCTGCTGGATTACACAACCCTTCTGCCAGAAGCACCTCCAGGAAAGTGCCATCAGGAGGAGGCACGGACCCCCAAGGATCGCAGAGCACTGGAATCCCAGCTGCGGAGTCAGAGCAGGTTTATGCACTGAAGGAGGCGGCTCCTGCAACAGGCAGGGACCAGGGATGGGAGAGACAAACCCTACCACCCCACGCCCCAAGGCAGGATCAGCCCTGCCAAAACTATTCCTGCAATTCAACGCCGGACAATCATCTTTGAACTGAATTTGACCTACATATAGCGAATTCAAAAATTAAAGCAAGTCCCTCAGTGAGCAATTATAGCTACCTAGAGATAGGTGGCAGCATAAGAGCACATTTGCTTCGCCTTCTATTGTTTGCTTTTTCTGGAGTTAGAGAATAGGGCTTGCCAGACCCTGCCCACGATGCCCAAACAAGCTGTCAAGAGCCAGCAGATGCGAGCCGAGCAGATTTCGGAAGCGAGGCAGACAGACATGCGTGAGGGTGACATGGATTTTTGCACTAATCCCAGCTTCTCCCTTCTCACAGGGCTGGCTGCTGCTTAAATAAAACACCCCCCCGAGATGCAAAAATTGTCAGCACGTACCAGCTCACCTCTAAATAACCCTAAAATGATTTCATCGCCGCAGCTCTCGGTGCCATCCCTCCCAGCACCCTCGGCATCCCAGGAGGAATGGCCTGCGACGGGCACGCAATTTCTCTGCAAGGCTTGAAACCCCCTCTTTCTCTGGCTGCCCGAGGGAACAGCGCTAGCAACAAGGTGACATAAACCGAGGCTTTTACCGGCAAACACGTTTTAAACATCGGGTGGCAAACGGGAGCTGTTCCGCCCGGAGAAGCGGGATGTCATCCTGCTCACCTCCAGTCCCACACCAGCTTCACCAGTGACTGCCGCCACGGCACGTTCTCAAGAGGATTGTGCTGAAACACAACACGCCTCGTGAACTGCAACAAATCACTTCACCTCCCTGTTACACGGTAAAACTGGGTTACAAAGCCGTCAATTTTTACAGGAGCAGCTTTCTTCTTGCTGGGCAGGGAATAACAACCTGGCAGCAGCAACAGCTTGAGCCACATCCGCTGATGGGAACTTTTAACGTCAAGTCTGCTAAAACTGGGACCTGCACTTACTGCAGGTCCCTCAGACCGCCCACCTCCAAACCCCTCAACTGTAAGCACTGAGGCAAAGCTGCAGCAAACGGGTATTAGCCAAACCAGTAAGAAAGCTGGAAAGAGAACATGAGAGCTGGGAGACCCCAGCAGAAGAGGCAATGCAGGAGAGCCAGGGGCTCTGAAGCAGAGGTTCAGGGGGCTGCCTGGCAGGGCGTGAGGTGCCACCAGTGCAAGCGCAGAGGATGCTCGACACGAGCAGCTCGGGTCTGACCGGGAAATGCTGGGGCACTGCTGATGTGGGGATGAGAAACAGAAAAAAAAAAATCCACCAAACCCACTTCTCCACTAGATGAAAAGACCACGACAGCCAAGAGTGACCCATGCAAGTTGATGTTACAGCAAGGATTAAGCAGGGAGCCAGACATCTGGTTATTGCAGAGTCTTGAGGAGCCTTTAAAAACGGCAAACCACGCTGCACACGGCCATTTCTTCCCCTGAGAGAGATGGTGCGACAAGGCAGCCTGCCCCAGCTCACTCAGCCTCACCCTCTCTGCAAGGGAAGCTTTGAAAATTGAATTTATTCACAGAAAGACCCAGGAGCAGCACCAGCTTCTGGGCCAAGCGTGACCTGCAGACCAGCCACGCAGGGACAGCAGCAGCAGGGTCAGAGCAGCTTTTACACCTGCAGCCAACCTTCCTCCCGGCCGAGAGGCAGCCGGCACAAAGGGACGGCTCCCCAAGATCCCCCTTTCTGTTTTCCACTGTCTCAGCCAGGAGCGGTGCCGGGATCCTTCTGTGCAAGCGCAGCTTCGTAGCAGAGTAACTTGCGTGCCAGAAAACTCCCGGACCAAGTTTAAACGTGAGCCAGCGAGTACAGGGAGAGGAAAGGGAGGTATTAGAGGCAAAATAACAATGAAAAGGATTTTTTAAAAGCCCCTGGAGGCCAGACAGAATTTTTTTCTATAAGGGAAAGCCCCTATAGTTTACAGCAGCTGCAGACCAGTGTAATCTTCTGCAGATTACAGAAACTATTGACCTAATAATCCTGCTTGGTATTGAAAAAAAGAAAAAAAAAAAAAAAAAAGGCAGCTAGGAGTGTGAAAGGTCAGGGTATGCTCCCAAGCGACCTGGCCCACTCATTCCTGCACAGGGTGGGGTGCTTGTCTTCAGCGTGGGATGAAATTAAGGAGCTTTGGCTTTGGATGCAGGACCCAGCCCGCTGAAGGTGAGGACCTCAGGGTAAGGACACAAAGGAAACCTCGAAACATTGCAAGACGAACTGGACATCAGTAACGGTTTGTCAGCTCTCCTACTCGCAGGGGTTTTTGGGTTGTTGAGTGTTGGTTTTTTTTGTTTCGTGGTTTGTTTTATTTTTTACGTTAACACGGCTGGTTTGTTTGCAGTCAAGGAAGTGAAGTCACGCCACGGTGGTGTGCAGAGGTTTGGGTCTCAGAGGAAGAGCAGGAGGGAAAGGTTTTGCACAAACAACACGTGAGAAAGAAAATAAAGCAAACTTTTTCAGCACTTTTTTTATACCCTCTAAAGAGAAGCCAAAACTACCTCTTCTGCTCTGCACCAACATGCAGAGAAGATTAAATCAATTTCTAGAAACACCACCAATTCCCATAGTCACATTACGTGGGGACACAAATGAGTCTGAGCCCTGGGTTTTATCTACATCTCTGCTCTTGGATTGCTGCAGAAAAAGGCACTTTGTGCATCCATTTTTTGTAGCTGCAAGACCTTCTGCGCAGCTCATGGTCCTGGCTCATCCTGCCCTGGTACCACGTCTTCACTGTCTGCTACAGGTTGGTGTTCCAGGGCATTGCAAGGGCTCTGGTTTAATTTTTAAAACAATTTGCTCAATCAAATGACCTCCACTCTGGCCATTACAGCCCAACTTGTTAGTATTCACCTCCTGATGAAGCAAATTTTCCATATCTGAGAAAGGCCCTCTGATACCATCTACAAGCCTTTATATAAGCAAACGTTTTCCAGCTGAACTAAAAAAACTGCAGCACATTACAGTCATTCAGCAGAATACCAAGCATGAGTATTTAAGCAATTCCTTATTTGTTGGCACCAGAAAACAATTCTTCAAAGAGAACACCAGAAGAGGCCACAGAAGGTATCTGCATGCCGCGGTGTGTTAAAGGAAGGCTTTCTGAGAGCGATTTGGAGCGGAGGAGATGGGGACTCCCTGTGTTCTGCGAGAAGAGAAGAGAAATTCAGCAAGAAACCAGCAAACAGGGCAGAGAGGCTACTGCCATCACCCACACCGCACCGCTGGTCTGATTAGGGCTCTTGTGTTACACTGGACGTAGGAAACAGGCCACGTTTCGGAGGCATAAAGAGGGAACCCTTAAACGCTGGCAGACTACAAGTATTTCGCTGTATCTCGAACCACTTCGAGTGAGTTGTATTTGCCAACTCCAAAGGAACCTGTTGGCTCCGCACTCCAGCTGGCAAGGGCAGGAGGGGACAGAGGCCAACGCGCACCCCAAGGAATCCCCGCTGTGGGATGAAGGAAGGGCGTCCGCTCCCCCCTGAGCCTACGCCCCCACAGAGGAGAACGCAGGTGGTGGTTTGGAGGGGTCCATTCTATTTTTTCCTCTGCTGGGGTCAGACAGTGATGTGCTTATTATACCCACCGGCACCTGCGTGGTCTCGCAAGGATGAGCTGTCCTAAGCACTGCCCTCCACCACCTTTTTCTTCTCTGCCTCTAATTTCTGAAGGCATCAGACGTGACAGCAAAATTAATGAGCCTGTCACCTGAAACTGTCAGATCAGACCTACCAAGTGCCTTTCACCAGAAAAATCTTGATGCAGCTGCAAACAGTTAAACCTCCGCAGCTGTCCAAGCTACAAAACCCAGCAGTATCAGAAGAAGATGTCTTTCCCAGTCCCTTATTTCAACCCCTAGTCTAAAGATCTCAATACCATACCTGTTCAAGGTTTACATGCAGCTCACGGGGTATTTCCACCTTCTACAAATCTGAGTTTATATTTATATAAAAATGCTTTTGAAAGGGCCAAGTTAACCTCCCTTGGGCAACACAAGGGCTGCAGACAGTTCAAAGTCATGCCTGCAGGCAATCAGCCCTCTTCATCCTGGAGACATAGGTTAGGCAGCATCTCAAAGCCACCCTCTGTCCCTCAGCACACGTCTAGTTGACATTGTGGAGATCTGTTGTGGCAGAGGGCAAGATCCTAAATCCTTGAGTGCCAAGGCACAGATGGTCTTTAAAAACATACGGTATTTTTTTAAAAGCAGCTGGCACTTCTGCAAAGCCACATGATTTCCTCTACCAGATCACTTTTTCTCATTGCACATTGGCTAATGAAGAGTTCAGAGCTGATGAACAACCACACATCCTTTAAAGATGAATTTACTCAGTGACAGGCTGTTCAGGAAGCAGGACTCCAAAACCTTTATGGAAGAAAAGCAAAGAAAACAGGATGCCAAATTACCTGTGCCAGGACAGAAAAGCAATTAAAAATGGGAAGGCACATTAGCTCATCCAGTTTGTTTCCAAACAGTCCAGGCCAGGGCTGCTGTTCACATACCCTAGCTCTGTCACCCCATTTAACAACTGCCCCAAATGATCTGGGACACATCATTTCCCACCAGAAGTTATTCGATATTTTGAGAGCAGATATTTGATAATTAATCAACTATTAAGTTGAATCTGCTGTCGAATATCTGCTGTCATTGAATTAAGTTGAATTAACTTAGCAGATTCAACTTAATAGTTGATTAACTAAGTTAATTCAACTTAATTCAACTTAATTCAACGATAGCAGATATTCGACAGCAGGTTCAACTTAATAGTTGATTAATTAAGTTAATTCAACTTAATTCAACGATAGCAAATATTCGACAGCAGGTTCAACTTAAGTCTTCGGTCCTCTCTGCTTTCTTCATCACTACTGTGGGCACTCAGCTTCTCTGCATTTTAAGCCCCCAGCTAAGGGGCACCCAGCATCTTCCAAATCAGGAGATGCCTACTCCCGTTCCTTCGAGCGCGGCAAGGCCTCACTTGTTGCACCTTCCCAGCCGCCTGCTGCCCTCTGTTCACGGCACGGTCACACCAACAGGCACCACACACACACGAGCGTGCAAACTCGCAGCCAGCTAGGGCGCGGCGCCTGTCCACGCGCGTGTCGCCTCCCGGGCCGGCGGGGAAGCTCACCCCCTGCTTCAGGGCGTGCCGATGGGCACCAACCGCAGAGCGGACAACCCACCGCGACCCCACGGAGCTGGTTTGCGCAGTTGCAGGCTCGGGTTCTCACAGACAGTTTGTGTCTGCGTTAGGAGCATTTGGACAACTTGTAATTGAACACTGTTGGTTTTTCTACAGAATTCAGTCCCTCTGGAGCCTCACAACATACTTCTCATTGCACTTGGATTAGAGACTTATTTTGCCTCCAAGAAGGCGGCTATGGACCTCAGCTTCGCCTGCTTCTGTCGATGCTCGCTCGTGTTTCAGAGACCGTTCCCTCCGACTCGCAGCCCTTCTGGACCCTGGTTTCTGGAGGAACGTTCCTGCATCCTTCAAAGCTTAGCTCTAGCCCAGTAGTGAACGTTACAAACAGAGAAACTTGTTGTTTTGTTTAATATTAAATATAGCGCATTTTGTTAACATGCTTCAGCTTCCAAGACTGAGAGATCACAGGCAAGAGCTGTCCCAGGATAAGCCTCTTGGGATGAATCCCCTCCCAAACATTTTAACGATGAACAGGAGCAAAGGAATTTATCTGACATGATCTATAATAAGATTTCAATATAACATTCAGCCTACAGCATTTCTAAATATGGCCAAAGATCACTGAAGTTATTTGGCATTATTTCATCTTACAAGGATTTTCTTTCACTTATTCTGCTGTGTTTGCATACACGGGATTCCACATCCATCAAGGAGCAAGGTCGACTATTGTTCAGTGGGCTCTGACTGAAGTGAAATAGGTCTCAGGACCAAGGCTGGCAGGTGCAGAATTTGGATTGTCATTTATCTAATTTTTTTTGTTTGTTTGTTTTAAAAAAAAAGCCCTTTGACATCTACTCACAACCTGTACATAGGGGGAAAAAAATTAAAGCGTCACCCTTAAATCAAGGGCTGAAGCAATTCTGAAACCTGACGGGCTTGTTCCCCTCCAGTCCTCACCTCTTCCCAACACACACATCACTGCCTCCATCAGGATATTTGAGGTAAGGAACCACCCACCTCTGCGTTCTGCAAAGCACAACAAATCAAAACACCTCACTGCTGGCTGGCACTCTTTCTTCTCTTTCCTCCTCACAAACATTAGACAAATGTCCAGGGGAAGGAAAAGCAATTGAAGACAAAGCCAGGAAGACACAGGCCAAGCCTGTCACATGAAGCGCCATCTCGGATACTTCTCAGAAGTCTGAGGTTGCACCTTCTCCAATAGTAACGTGAGAAGAAAGTCCCAATTCTGCCGTTATGCAGGTAATAAAGCTCACTCTGCTCTTTTGGCTCCAAGTTTCAGCTAGGTCCTGCAGCCAAGATGGCATCATTGCTCAAGCTGAGACAAAATATGCAGAAAGCCCATGACCACTCTCCCATCAGCAAGGACTCTGCTCTCAGCATCAGGAGGCATCTTCAGAAACCCAAGTGTCCTTTGCAGCAGCATCTTTAGCACGAAGCAAAGCCCACCCCGCCAGAGAAATTAAATACACTTACCATGACGGTGCAGTCCTCAGAGCCACTGGCGATGACCTGGTCATTATGAGGACACCAGTCTATGTCCAGCACTGGTCCTGTGTGCCCACACACTGTTGGGTAGGACTTGTCAATTCTGCCTGTCTGAAGGGGGGGAACAAGAAGGAGAGCTGTAACACACAGACAGCAGAGAGCACATCTCAGAGCAGAGGAAGATGTTTCCTAAGTCTCCATTAACTCTTTCAGTATTCCAAATTTCATCAAATTTTAATCATCTCATGTATTGGTAGAGGAAACAAACCAGCAACTCTTCTTCAGCACCAACTAGCTGGAAACTCCTGACGGTGCAAGAGAAGGGTTCAGAGGTTCAGGACAGGAGGGCTTTGCTCCCCCGCGGATGCAGGGATGCTTTGCTGCAACACTGTCCCTTTGTCCGTCCCCAGTGCTCCGGGAAGAGGGCTCTGCCTGACCAGTGAAGCTCTGGTTTTGTCTGTGCTTCACAATGGCAGCCAGCGACAGCTAAAGATAATCAAGCTAAAATGTTAATTGAAGGGTGTCGCTAGTCACTGAATTTACCAAGCCTGCTTGTTTTCATCATACAAGTATTTTCCTTAGATGGACAGTTTTCAGGACACACTTGTGCAGAGCAAAATATTGTTTTTAGGAATGAATACTGCTGACAGACTGCCGCAGCCACCCACCCCTGATCTGTACCTGTCTCTCCAGCCAGAGGACCGAGGCCACCAGCACACTGCCGAAGTCAAGCTCATTACACAGCTACGCTTTCCAAGAAAACAAGCTCAGGAGATGCTCCCCTTGGAACCGAGACAAACCCAGCGATGCCAACGCAGCTGTTGCAAAGACACCAAAATTTGCAAACTGGGTCTACATTCTGCTGATGGAGCCCCCAGTACCCTGAAGCACCTGACCCCCCCCCCAAACTGCTGATGCACCTAATACCTTCCTCTGTGTGAAAGAACATAAAAACCACTCTAGCTGATCATCATTGTCTCTCTTGGTCAAGCCTTGCACACCCAGGAAGCAGTATTTAAAACACTCAAGACACATGGCAGTAGTGGCAGGGTGAGTGGAGACTCCCGCACTTCTAGGGTCAGAACCGGGGTCCCGCTCCTAGGGGTTTTGTTTCCAGGGAATTCTGTGATGGCCTTTTCATGAGCGATGGGAGAAGAGAGATAGGAGGGAGAGGTCTGGGATGGGGTCGTTTTCTTTCGTGTTTAAACACGCAGAAGAAATGGCTGGCATTTCACTTCTGCCATTCGGCGAGAACATTCTCCAACCTTGGAGGTTACATCTCTTAAAATATGCCTCCTACCCATCTCCACGCGGAAGGCTGTTCCTATTCAACGCTGTCTTACATACAAAGGATCAGAATAATGCTGGATACTGGCTTTTGAAGACTACTGACCTGGAGACCTCTACTAGCCACAAAACAAGATATAGACCCAATCAGACTAAGTTATAGAAACAAACCGACCACTATTTCCTAAACGACCAAATTTAGGCTTCAAAAAGAGACTGTCTCAGGGATTCAAACGCTTTTGAAATCATTCGAAGTGAAAGTGTTGCAGATGAAAAGCCATAAACCAGACATTCCGGAATTAAAGTCTGTGTAATCCCTCTTGGATGCTATAATGTGAAATAGGATTTAAAAAATTAATACATCTAACTGACATGTATAGTCCATCCATTTTAATTTATCTAATTAAAAAAGAACCATGCAGAGCATACGTGCCCGAACATATTTCAGAAGTCACATTACAGGCTAAATACAAATAAAGACCTAAACCAAAAGAAAAACTACGACTAATATTGCGAGACGTCAGTGACTACCTGTTCTTGCTTCTAGGCAGGGCTCAGAGTAATCCTCTAAGAGGAGCCTATGGTAATTATTTGCAGGCTGCACGAGCACTTGTCACTTTAGTTTAGAGTTTTTACAGTAATTTATTACTGGAGGGAGGAAAAAAAAAAAAATCAATTTGAACAAATTAAACCACAAACTTCACCTTTCAGTTTTGATCACGATGAACCTGAACAGCGCGAGCAGCAGCAGCCAAGTGCCTGTGACAGCCAGCTGACCGCAGGGACCAGGCTAGCCCCCTGCCTGCTTTTGATCAACTAAAACAGAGCTCATTTTTTTTAACCCAGCTATCTTGTACTGCCATTAGCTCGCTCAACGGCCGTGCTCCGAGGGCAGCGAGGAAAACGAGACGACGGAGGCTCCCGGTGCCCGAAAGCAGAAGGGACCAGCGCAGCCACGGGCTTCCAGCTCCCCCGGGGGAGAAAGTCCCCTTCCCTCGGCAGGCGAAGCAGCGAGCTAGTGTAAAGCTCAGCCTTGTTACCAAGCTGCAATAAAAGTCAGTCTTGTCATTGAGCTGAGGAACTTGGGCTGGGTGCACAGGCACGGCTGTTTTGGACAAGGAGAGCATAAACATCTCGGGCCAGAGAAGGATCAAGAAGAAACAGCAGATGCACAAAGGGGAAGTTAAATCAAACTGAGCAGAAATATCTTTGCACCATGTTACAGGTGAACAGATGCCGATCTGCATGGTCTGTAGAGCACACCCTTTTCCTGCCTGGTTGTGGCTGGTGACGCACAAAACCCATTTCTAACAAGGGAATGGAGTAAGGATGGGGAAAATGAGGTGTTATTTAGAAGCAGTGCGGGAGACACGGTAACTTCAAGCAACCTCAAGCGTATTTATTCACAAAACTTTACAAAACCAAGCAAGCAGAGTACAAACAAGAGAAGGAGATGTCACACTGCCTGCAAACACAACAGCTCCCCAGGGTCTGGCAGAGGAAGACAATGCCAGGGGAGAGGCACAGCCCAGTGGCACCAGCTTCTACTCCTGGCCACGGCACTATTGCACAAAGAGGACCCCAGAGGTCCACAAAGAATAGCGTGGAAACAGCAAAATGAGAACAAATAAGAATGGAGGGGGACAGAATAGGTGACTGTGAAAGGCTGCCGTGCTGCTCAAAGCTTCACTTTGGCTGGGAGAAGTCCAACCACTTCCAGAGAAGCTCCTGACTTGCAGCTGGAGACACAAAACGGTCTTCACAGGGCAGAGGAAACCACAGTGCTTTCCTGAAGACCTAACAAAGAGCAAGAGCTCTCCTTGGCAACGCTTCTAAATGCACCTCATCTGCCCCTCTTCAAAATAAACTCAACACTTTCATCAGAAAGCAGGACCCTTCAAAGGGGCTGGGGGGCCCTGCCAACAGGGAATGACCAGAAGTCTGCAGTAGGGCATTAAAACAAACAAACAAACGCACACACGAGCCTGCAAAATTACCAAATTCAATGTTTTTAAGTACAATTCCTTTTAAAAGGGACGCCTCTACCAGAAGAACACGAGGAGGTTTGGAACTTTGCTGCCAAATGGGTGCGTTTTCATGCTATTGTAATACTCCCAGGTTTGGGGATTTATTTATTTATTTTTAAAATGTAATCTTTTAATTAGTTATGGATTTAAAATAAATCTCGAGTGCTGCTGCACAGCTTAAAATTAACTCGGTACGACTTCAAGAAATTATATCCTTCTCATAAGCCATTACGACTCTGCTTGAGCAACAACACATCCCAGTAACAACTTTTAAAACTCAGAGTTGCATTTTTATAAAGAGTTGGCCCAAAAGGTGAATTTGAGGATTATGGGCAATATGCTGGATGGCGTTGCCTTGAGCCACACTCAATATCCAGGTCATGATCAATGGGTGGTACCCAATGAGTTCACTTTGTGCTTTCATGGATCCCAGCTCAGAAAAAAACGACAGGTGAAAAGGAAAAAAAAAAAGGTTTTTAAATCCAGAAGGGACAGGTAAGCAGCACAGGAAAACTGTTCCTACAAGTGGTAGTTTTATGAATTAATGTGACCACCTTACGATCGCTTCTCTGCAGAAAAGGGCAATTAGTTGCAGGAAACAGCTCATGGATTATGGCAAAAATATCACGGAGAACAGCTGCTTCCCCCAGACTCTGGTTGCACTCATTAAGATCGCCATTTAAAATAGGGAAGTGGCATCAAGTTGCAAAAGCAATTCCCCCACCCTTACCCTGCAGAAGTTTGAGGAAGGAAATCAGGTCACAACTGCAAAGTCTGAAACACAAACCGACTGGTACCTTTTCTCTGTTAGAGAAAATATTCCCTTTTTTTGTCAGCCAAACCGTGTCTCGTCCTTGCGACAAACTCAAGTTTCACAAAGCCCAGGCGAGCGAAGTTTAATGGGCTCTGGCCACCAAACCTCCACCTCTGGTTGCAGCAGCTGGCCATGCAGGAGGCAGTTGGGAGAAAAGACTGCAGTAGGATGTAACGAAAGGGCATTGCTCTCTCGTGACCGTGACAAATAGACATTAGTCACCCAGTGAACCAATCAAGGCATCCATAACTAATTTGGAAGATTATGAAAAGTGTTACTGCCAAAAGGTCTACTGTAATGCCATGCAAGAAGAGACTTTAAGGCATTCATAACTACACACTGCTTCCAAACCAGACCACTATAAACACTGCCTGTGCCCTCCAAAAATTCCCTGTCAGTGCTCCTGTTCTGGTTTTATCACCTTCATAGCTGCGGGGCTCTGACATTACAGTAGACGTTACCGGCTGCTACAGAACGGAGACAAAGGTCCTTGTGCTGGAGTGCCCAGACCTAAATGGATGCACAAAGAGGAGGGAAAAAAACCCGCGGTGACAGGCAGGAATCTTGCACAAAGCCACCCCTGCCTGAGCAGGGCTGTAAAAACCATGGCACTGCGGCCAGAGAATCCAGTGCTAAGAGCTGGTTGCAACTGCAGGATGCTTTACACGGGAAAAAATGTACGTCGAGCAGCAGGATCCTTCACAAAATTAACTGCAACAATCAGCTACTCACACGCTGGCTTTAAAAAAAAAAAAAAAAAAAAAAGGGGGAAAAACTCCACACAAACAACCCCCAAACCCGACCCAAACTGCTAACTCCTGTCACTCAGAGCTGGGTGCGCAGCACAGCTCCAGCATTTCAGCTAACGTCCATCCCAGTTTCTGGAGGAAAGCTCTAAACACACTTCAAAGTTAAATTTCAGCCTCAGCTAACTTCTAGCTGAGGAAGCCCTTCAGGCAGAAGATGCGGAGCTTCAAAACAGAGAGACCTGTTGCCCAGAAATCACATT